TGATAAGGGAGCTCGGTCAGGGAGGACCCTCTTTCTACAAACTGACTCCAAGGAATGGAGTCAGGTCGAAACTCCTCCCCGCTCAGCGCCTCGGACAGGGCTGGTCAGACGTGATTTGGCCTGAAGGACCATCCCTGGTGGACAGAGAAGTGATGTGTGATGCCGACAGGCCAGAGGCTCGCATCCGGGACGCATAGCACTTGGAGCCAATGTGCCGGCAGAAGGTGGGCAGCCGGGACCCCACATCTCTCTCCAGCAGGATGTGAGGCAGCACTGATTGAGTGAGGGGAGCCCCTTGGAGCCTGGGGGTGCAGACAGGCATCCAGCTGGACCATGGTCAGTGCTCCTGCTTAGGGCAGACAAGGGACAGGAGAGCCCGACCTGATGAGAGGGAGGAGGAGCCCAGAAAGCCAGAGTGAAGACATCCCTCACAGACTTCAAGGACCTATGTGTGTAGGCCCAAGTGTGCACAAGCCTGTATGTGCGTGCATGCCCGTGTGTGTGCATACTGGTACATACGTGCGGGCCCATGTGTGCACAGCCCGTATGTGCATGCCCGTGTGTACACACGCCCATGTGTGCATGTGCCCGTTCCTCTCCCAGAGGCCCTGATCAGCACCCAAGCAGCCCAGGTCACTGACGCCTGTGTGATGAGGCATTGCCTCCTTCTTGCCGACTGTTCCTGACATTTTCTGTCCCCCATCCTCTAATGTATCAGGTAGGAAGCCACCATCATGGTCAGGGTGGCCAGTGACCCTACCCCCACGCTCTTGCCCTGGTGGGGTCGCCTCCAATATGTAAACAGTCACAGCTGGTTTAGGAAAGGGGTTCTCTATTAAGCCAAATTTTCTCAGAAGCAGAGTTTTCAGGGGGGTAGTTTGTGCTAAAAGGTCCAAATTCAATTGGAAAGGATGTTCATTATCAAATCTCTGAGGCATCTCCATGGAGACCATCCTGTGGTAGTTGTCCTGCTACAGAGATCAGCTGCCCAAGAGAAAGCTGTCTTTAGTTTCTGAGGTAAATCCTGCTAGGCATGAGGGGAGGAAAAGTCAACTTCCCTCCTCTTTCTGAGGTCCTGGCTGAGACCCCTGTAATAGAAGACAGATAAACAAGAGGAGGAAAAAACAGAAGTTTATTAACATGTGTGCCTTGTGTGCTCTTGGGGGAGACCCGGGGGAAAATGAGCAGCTCTCCAAGATGCCTTAGAATTCAGGTTTAAGAGGAAGTGAAAGTGAAAGTGTTAGTCACTCAGTTGTGTCCAACTCTTTGTAAGCCCATAGACTATATCCCGCCAGGGTCCTCTGTCCTTGGAATTCTCCAGGCAAGAATACTGGAGTGGGTAGCCATTCCCTTCTCCAGGGGATCTTCCCAACCCAGAGAAAGGGGGAGAGGAAGTGATTTGTAGGAAAGATGATGGCCCTCGGAGGAGAGGTGGGAGGTGCAGTCATGTGACAGGTCTGCCCTCCTCCAGACCCCCTTCCAGGACTGGTGGCAATGATGTTCCTCGGTGGATAATCCCTCCTCCAGTGGGGGTGGGGGTGGGGGGGCGGGGCTGTGACACCTGAGCCCCTCTGAGGCTCTTCTCCAGGTAGATGAGGGAACTCAGAGAGAAAGCCCCTCCTGCAGCTGGTGGCTCTCAAGTGCCCACAGCAGAAACGTCACTGCACCCAGCAGCACATGGCAGGGACCTCACGCTAACCTCATCCCTGCCTTTACACTCCCCCAAGCAGTTTCTAGGCTTGAAAGCTGGGCTGACAAGCTGCTCCATCTCCCTGAACCCATCTCTCAGTCCTGAGAGGAGGTCAGTCCAGTAAACAGTTGCCTCATTTCGGGGGGTGGGGTTGTGGACAGGCTCCAGAGCAGGCATACAGTCAGGTTATGATAGGAGGCATCTCTATGAAAGCCAAAGAGAATCAAAGTTACTGGTTAGAGCAGACCTGTTTCTGAGCCCTGGGGTGGGAGGCAGCCAGGCAAGATGATTTCTGGATGGCGAGCTCACAGCATCTTTGTGGTCTGGATGCCTCTGGTGGGATCGTGTTTGGTCCGGGGAACCTTCTGAGTGGTCGTTGGCAGGGCAGCAGGCATGCAGGCTGTCTGTGAGTGAGATCTTTCAGCTGCTTCCCTGAAGTTCACACCACTCATCCAGCCTCAGTTTGCAGGGCTGTGGGGAAAGGGCAGCTTCGTTTTTAGTGCTTCCAGTTGGCTCAGCAGGTAAGGAATCTGCCTACCAATTCAGGAGACTCAGGTTTGACCCTTGGGTCAGGAAGATCTCCTGGAGGAGGAAATAACAACCCACCCCAGCAGTCTTGCCTGGGAAATCCCACGGACAGAGGAGCCTGGTGGGCTACAGTCCATGGGGTCGAAAAGAGTCAGACACGACAGAGAGACTGAACGCAGCAGCACGATTCTTAGTGATTCTAAGTCGGAAGCGCGAGAGGATATTGGAAGCATTGGTCTGGAACCATGTAGCCAGATATTTCAAGAAACTAGAAGTTAAATCCAGTTCAGTTACAGGTAAAAAATAAAACCTCAAAGACTACAAACAGGACTAGAATCTCAAGGCAGAGAGTTCTACCAAAACCTAACTTTTCTCTCTATAATCACCCCCATTTCTAAGATAATCAGATAATCATGGTAAAAACAATTTGTTTGCAAAGGAAGCCTGATCTCATTTGACGTGGCTCTTGGGAGGTTGCTGGGCGGTAGCTCCTAGCCAGGACTCTCTCTGGTCACCCTGGGCCCTTCTGCTCAGCTGATGAAGGCAGCTCTGGTGAGTTTACCCCACCCGCTGGTGTCTCCATGCTGACCGTCACACCTCCATTGGCCTGGGGGAGTTGTCTGCAGTTATCTTACTTTGAGGTCTTAGGAGAATGGTACCGGGGAGGATTTGTAAAGCCAAGGCGGGTGTTTTCTCTATATGTCCTCTTCTATGGAAGACTTTAAACACCTCCTAGGTGAGCTCCCCTGACCCTCGAGCCCTTTGCCGAGGAATTTCCTGAAGAATTAGCAGTCCCTTCACGTTTGTTCTTCCTTCCAGCCAACTGTGAAGTTTTATATTTTCTCAAAAAATAACCCGTTCATCAGGATTTTCAACTTGGCTCGCATAAAATATAAAGAATAAAATAGATTTTTTAAGTCTTATTTTTTCCTCTTAAGCTTGCCAAAGGTACATCTATTTCTTATGAATTTTTCCCCCAGAGTACAGCTCTTGCATCTATTTATCAGTCCTTCCAACTTTTCTGTTTTCAGATTCAGAAATTTCTGCATTCGTCTTAATTACCCGGGTGTTCACCATATCCTGCTTTGTCATTCCTTTCCTTCTGGATATAAATGCTCAGTTCATTCACTGTAATTCTGTTTTAATGATGAAAATATTTGAAGTTAAGGGTTTGTTTTGATTCAGTCTCTGGCCAAATTCCTTGGGTTTCGCTGTTTCATTGTCATTACTATTTTTAAATCACCTCTAAATGCAGTTTTGATTCTTAACCTGTGGTTACTTCAGAATGTTTTCTAAAATATCTCTTTAAAAATCATCTTTAAATTTTAATTGTATTATTCTAGTAAAAAGTCCTGGTCAATTTTGCTTTGTGGAATTTTTTGGGGGTTTTTATTGTGGTCCATTTTTTTGTAAAATGTTGCCACGGTCCCCTGGGCTTTGATTTTTAAAACTTGTCTTTTCTAAAGGTGTATTCAGAGTTTATGCTAATCTTAATTTGGCTCCACCAGTTAGTCCTTTCACGTCCCTGTGGCTTATTTACAATCTCTCACCATGGGAGAAGCTTGTCTTACATGGTATCCTGCCCGTCAACTGCCCCTTACATGACCAGGACCTCTGCTTCATCTGAATGAAAGACATGCACCTTATGTTTAATTCTGCAGGTGCCCTTGCTATCTCCTATAGTCTTGCATTTATCTAACAATCTGGTCAAAAGTGAGGGGCTGTCTGCATAGTCCACCCCCAACCCATGTAAAGCACAGAATCGTGCATTTTTTTCTCTGTTCTTTCCATTGCTTCACCCAACTCTCAGGCTTTGCTAGCTTACTTTAGATTTGGGACCCAGATCACCATTATTGAGCGCTTCCCTGGTAGCTCACACAGTAAAGAGTCTGTCTGCAATGCAGAAGGCCCAGATTTGGTCCTTGGGTCAGGAAGACCCCCTGGAGGAGGGAGTGGCTACCCACTCCAGGATTCTTGCCTAGAGAATCCCATGGACAGAGGAACCTGGCAGGCTACAGTCCATGTGGTCACAAAGAGTCGGACATGACTGAGTGACTATCATTTTCACTTTTCACCATTATTAAATTGTTGTTTTCCACAATATACAGTTTCTGTAAACACTGTTTGTGCCTGTACTCAGCTCTGTAACCACGTTGACAACACCTTTCAGATCTGTGTTTCTGTGTCCAAATGCCGGGGTGGGGGTTGGCATTTCCAAAGCTATCCCTGTTCTCGAAGTCTTCTCTGTGACCCCCTCTGAGGGCAGGGGAGGAGGACCAGAGCAGGAACAGGGGACATTTTCTGTGTCTTTGTGCATCCAAACATGTCCACTGCCTTTCTGCACAGATGATCACTCGGAGGCACAAGTGTCTTGGACCCTGACCTTTTCCCTAAAAACCCTGTGGAGTGAGCTGTGTCCTCGCCCTTGTCTTTCCTGAGGTCTGGTGTGAGGGGCATTTGTGCCAGGTCCTCGGCCATCTCAGACCATCACTGAGGCTCTACCATGGGCGTCCTCACCTCTGCCGAGCTCCCTGCAGACCCTTTCCTCTTGGAATACTGTGTCCCCTCCTCCCTGTCACCTGGGGCTCACCGGACATGTTCTGCAGGCTCCCAGTGAACCCCTGGCCTCACCTGCCCTTCTGGTCCCCCGAGTGGACCAAGCGCTGGCTGTGGCCTCACATGCCCCTGGGAGAGATGTCATGCGAGGCCATCCAGTGGGATGAGCAGAAGGTCCAGGTAAGAAGCCTGACCTTCCCCCACCCCCATCTGCTCCCCCTTCCAGATCCGGTCCGACAAGGACAACGACATCCCCATCCGATACAGCATCACAGGCGTGGGCGCCGACCAGCCCCCCATGGAGGTCTTCAGCATCGACTCCATGTCTGGCCGGATGTACGTCACGCGGCCCATGGACCGGGAGGAGCGAGCCTCCTACCACGTGAGTGTCCCTGGACTCGGGCTCCTAAGGCAGGGGTTGGAGGGGAATGCAAACCCAAGTCCATATCAGAAAAACCCAGCTGCCTGCAGGGCACCTCCCCGGGCTGTGCAATTCACAGAGCAGATGGGCCAAGAATGTGCTCTAATAACATGTCCCTGGTGATACCGGGAGGGTCTGGGACACACTGGGGGAGCCACTGGTCAGAAGCCATGGACCCACATGACCAGCCAGGAGTTCTGCTGTGGGAGGGGTCGTGCAGCTGCTGTGTCACCCCCACCTCTCCAGTTCCAGACATGCATCCCGGCCCCTCTGCCCCTTCCTCTGAGAGCAGAAAGGCAGCTCTGAGCGAGCGCAGCTGCTTTCATGGGGAGCTGCCAGTGGAGACGAGAAAACCATGAGAAAGTGAAGGCTGTGAGGCTCAGTTAAAGGGATCGTCCACAACTTTCCACTTGGCCTCCTGGCCTATTGGCACACAATTGGCCCTAGAGCTCGGTGGGCACACGGCTCTCACAACGCCCGCCCTAGCGTCCTTGGGCTCTGCCTCCTCGTCGTGGGATGAGCGTTTGTACCTGCGGGAGGCAGAGGCTGGAGCCGGACCTGGGGGGCGGAATTGGGCAGCCCCACCCAGCAGCTGAGACCTGTGCCCTTAACCCCTCTGACCTCCATGCTCTCCTGCAGAGGGGAAACAGTCAGGCTGCCTCAGCGTGTGCTCGGAGGACTCAGGGTGGCCATCCCTGTGGTGTTCAGGACAGGGCCCAGCACACGGCAAGGCTGCCTCTGTGGCTACAGCCAGGGCGTCAGAACTCCCAGCTCCCGGGTTGTGTTCACAGACCTTCAGGTGAGGGGATGCACTCACAGCCTCCGCCCTGTGTCATCTATGGACCGGCACTGACCTCACTTGGCTTCAGCATGCAGTGCCAGATGTGAACCCTGCTCTTCATACTCCAGGTTCACTGTCCACCTCCTGGATGAGAAGGGAAGCTCCACGTGGCAGGCTTGTCCATACCACATCCCCTGGCAGAGAAGAGAACCCACCACTGAGGGCGGGCCAGTCACAGGCTTTCCTCTCTCAACTGCTCAGCTCCTAGCCCAGGATGGCTGCAGAATTTCTGAGCCCAGCACAAGATGCAGTGGGGGCCCCTCTGAGCTGACTATGAGTTTTAAGATGGTGATGGCCGAGCGTCAAACCACACACAGACCCTTCTGAGTACAAGGCCCGAATGACTATGAGGGTCACACACTCGCCCCCTGTGAAGTGGGACGGACAGGAGGCTGAAGCTGGAGGACTTGTGGGCCTCATCTCATGGCCGTCTGGGCCTCCCCAGGCCCTTCTGCACCTCGGTGCAAATGGCTCAGAGCCACACCCGGGTGTCACTGTCCACTCTGAGGACCCCCAGCCCTGGGCACCCCAAGAGCAGCTCGATCCCAAGAGCACCACACACCCTCTCCCTGCACCCCAAAACCAGACCCTGGGAAGGCAGGAGCCACGTTTTGGAAAAGGAGACCCACTTGGCAGTAGACTGAGAGACAGCTCCCCAGTCCCTCACCTGCTGTGGGCCAGAGGATCACTCTAATTTTAGAGTCCACGATTTTAGTGGGGCTCTGATTTTAGTTACCTCTGTCCACCCAGTCTCCTTGCCAATAAAGTCAACCCCCTACATGACGTGACTCGATCACGGGGTGACCCCTGTAACCTTCCCACCTGGAACCTGCGCCTCACATCCCAGAGTCCTCTCTGCTCCCCCGACGGGTGACGTATAATCCGGTCCTGAGTCCCACTGTTATCGTGGCTGTTGAGAGGGTGGGGCAGAATCTCCCACCTGAGAGGGAGCTGACAGACCGTGGACACGGGTCCCTGGAGATGACTGTGCGAAGCCTGTGATCATGAGACAGATGAGCATCACTGTCTGCTCTGCAAGGCGATTCCCCAGAAGGTGCCTTCATGGCTTCCTTAGGAAGCCTTGCTGTTGGGGCCACGAGCCGTCAACTTGGGCGGGATATTCGTGAGCCTCTGTTTCCCTGCCTGTAAATAGAGATCCGACAGACCTGTCTCAAGGTTCTTGTGAACAATGAGGTGAGGCAGTGCCTGTGGAGGTCTCGGGGCACTCCCAGTCAGAGCCAGCACAGGGTTGATGGAAGACAACAGGATCCCGCACACAGCAGGCACGCACAGCGCATCGCAGGAAATTTACTCTGCACAAGACACCCAGATTTGCAAGTCTCAGGACATTTCTTATCTCCAAGTCGCAAAGCATTTCTTGTCTCCAACACCAAGACAGACTCCCATCCCCAAGCCTGCAGCTGTGTGTCCAGCCTGAGAGATGGAGGGGGATGGGTGGGCTCTTAGAGATTTCCAACAGAATCTATCAAATGTTGTTTTAAGCTTTTGGAGGGGGATGAGGAGACTCTGCCAGCCACTTTCCATTGAGAGCTCCACTCGGACTGCTCCTGCTGCTAAAGATAGCGGCCTAACCAGGGTATCACTTTAGTTAGAAGATAATAACTTTAATTTTAGCTCAGAATTACTTTTTTCAAAGCCTCCTCAACCTTTGGCTCGGCGCCTTATTGCCTGGCCACATCTGACAAGATGAAGGATGGCCCAGCCGCCCGTAGGAGGATCCCCTGGATGAGGGTACAGCAGCCCACTCCAGTATTCTTGCCTGGAGAATCCCCATGGACAGAGGGGAGCCTGGTGGGCTACAGTCCATGGGGTCACAGAGAGTCAGACACGACTGAAGTGACTTAGCAAGCACACACTGGCCGCCTACGGGAGGACCTCCACAGCAGGGAGGTGCAAACCAGGCTCCAGGAACGGTGACCTGATGGCCGGGCGGGGGGCCGGGGGGCGTGGGGAGCGGTCGGCTGGGAGAAACAACTGCACCCGCATCCCCATCCTGAGATGTTTAAATGTGATACTTCAGGCTGATCTGTCTTGAAGGGGGCAGCTACATGGCTCTGCAGGCTGCAGCTCCCAGGAACCTGAGCTCGTTTTTCTCCTTGTGATGACCTAGATCGTCTCCTCCACGAAGCCTGCCTTGAGCTCCCCGCAAACACATGGTTTCAAGGGGAAAATTCTACACAGGGCTGTCGGCCGAGGCTGGGGATAACTCAAGGCCCCTCCTGCAGTCATGGATGGCACCCTCCCCTCCGCCAAGGCTGGCAGAGTGGCTGGGGGCGCAGGGCATGAAGGAGACTGCCTGATGGCTAGGCGGGGCCCCTAGCTCAGAGACCCCTCCTGCGGGAGGCTCCTCTGGGCACCCTTGACTTGGCTCTGTCTTGGCATAAGGACCCTGTAGTCCAGTGTGTCTGGTTTCGAGGGTGACATGGTTTCCACAGAGAGATGAGGGCATGGCTGTGTGACAGTCACAGTGCTGGTCTGGAGAGACAGGCCAGCCCCTTCTACCTCCAAGTGTGGTTTTTCTGTCTAGTCTCAGGGCCCCCACAGCCCCACTCCAGCACACTCTGCTGCCCGTGGGGCTCAGCCACTCTGCATCCCCCATGGAGGCCCCCACGCTTGCTGTCCTCTGGGCCCCTCATCCAGGGCTCAGCTCCAGCATCACCTCCTCCGAGAGGCCTGACTGGCCTCCTCCCCACCCCACGGGTCATTGCGGTCACATGCCTTCTCAGGGGCCATCTCCTGCATGGGAAGCCCCAGGGCAGCCCCGGGTCTCATGAAGCCACAGCTTAGGGCACAGCCAGTGCCTGCCACAGGTGGGCCCTCAATAGATATTGATGGAGTGAATGAATTAATGAGTGAATGAATGAATAAAAGATAAAAATCCAAAATCGAAGAGGGGAGTCTGAGCAGCCCCTGTGGGCCCCCCAGCCCAAGTTGGGGGACCTACACTTTGTACCTTGAGTTGTTCCCAGATGGAGCTCCCTGGAGCCCCTTCCCCATTGAAGTGGGGCCTTCCACCCCAGGGCCCCTGGACCCATTTCCTCTCTGCTGCCCCAAGAAAGATAAGCCAGGCCAACAGGGTAGACTTGAAGTGGATGCCCAAGTTCAAGGACCCGCTGTGTCTCTTCTCTGGGTCTCCCCCAGGCCTGGCCTCCTGGCAGCAAGGGGCCTAAGCCCCCGCTCCATTAGCACACACAGCCTTTCTGCAGTTGCTCTAGGTAGACGTGAGTCCTCAGCATCAGTGGTGCGGGGATGGATATCGGCATGGACCCTCGGGTCAGCCTCCAGCTCCCATGGTCGCTCTGTTTCACCCTCCCAGGATGCCTCCCCATTCCCACAGAGGAGAGAACTCAGGCTCATGACGTGTCCCAAGCCCACCCCGCACTCCCCAGGCTGCCCCTTGGGGTGGCCCTGAACTGCTCTGTCACCCCACCCCAGGGCTGTAGGTCACAGGAAATCTGCTCTTAGTGGCTCACAAGGCTTAGGGTCAGGCACATCCCCGCCGGGGGCAGCTGTTGGCCCTGACAGCATATGTTGCTTTCTTTCTAGCTCCGAGCACATGCTGTGGACATGAACGGCAACAAGGTGGAGAACCCCATCGACCTGTACATCTATGTCATTGACATGAACGACAACCGCCCCGAGTTCCTCAACCAGGTGTACAACGGCTCCGTGGACGAAGGCTCCAAGCCAGGTTAGCCCTGAGCCCCGAGGGAGGGACATTCCCGAGGAGGGGCACGCAGCCCCCGCTGCCATGATGACACCTGGGACTCATCGCCTCTGAGTTTATTTAAGCACCCACTGCTTGCACTAGGGAGTGGGCATCCCTGCTCCACATACCTCACAGTCCAGGGAAGACACAGAGGGGCTGAAACAAGGGACCAGAGCCACTGCAGTGACAATTTGGCTCAGGAGACCCCTGGGCACTGAGTCATGGGGACGGCTGTAGATTAGGGAAGGCTCCTCTGCAGAGGTGACCTGTGGGCCAGGAGCTGACTTGTGATCAGGAGCAGCACTCAGAAGTGCAGGGAAGGAGTCTGGCGGCAGGGAGAGCATGTGTGAAAGTCCTGGGGCCAGTCAGGGAGGAGGTTGGCCATCTGAGGCCTCCTGGGCACCTTTGGGCATAGCAGGAAGCCCCTGAGAGGGCTGACTCCCTCGGCCTAAAGAAGTAAGCTGTGTGGCTGAGGCCCTTGGCCCCCCTCAGAGCTGACCCAAGAGCTGACCCGTCTTCCCAAGGACTCCTGTCCAGCATAAATGATAATGACCACTTTACAGTGTCTGGTCTCTGGATCCCATAATGACCTAGAAGTGGCTGCCTCCCTCCCCCTTCAGCTCAGACAGGACTCAAGGCCTGCGGAGGTGGAGCAAGGAGTCCCAACCCCTCGGTGTGGACATGGGCGCGAATCCCCAGTGGATGCTGGCACAACAGCTCAGAGACCTCCCAGCATCACCTGGGAACGTGTTATAAGTGCATAGCTGGTGGCCACCCGCTGATTCAGACTCTGCAGGTGGGGCCCCGAGGAGGCAGCCAAGCTCCAAGTAACTCTGCACTTGCTCAGGTTTAAGAAACCCAGCCCCACAGTCTCCTGACTTGGGGGAGGGGCGGGGGCAGTTGTCCTCAGGACAACTACTCAGTTTGGGGCAGGCAGGGGCAGGGGGCAGTGTGGAGCTAAGCCAAGCACCACTGCTGAGGCCCCTGCTAAGGGCTGCTGGAAGCTGCCACTAAAATTCGGACTCTGGTTACATTTGAACTTGAGAGAAACAAAAGGTCATTTTGATTCATGAGTGATGCCCCGTGCAATACTGGGAACATACGCACAGTAAAGGTGTTGCCTGCCATCTGAACATCACAGAGGCTGCCCCTCCCCAGCCCCCGGTGGGTGCCCATCCTGCAAAGACTTCCCGGGCCTCTGAGGAGGGGTCAGCAGGCATCCAGCATGCAGAGAGGCATGAAAGCAAACATTTATCATCTCTTCTCCCTGGAGGCAGTTGTCACAGCTCCGTCTCCAGGGGCTGCTGCTTCCACAAGGTGAAATACGTCTACAACTGATTGTCCTCAGAATCAGGAGGCTTGGTCCAGCCTGATGTCAGCAAAGGGAAAGCGATGTGACATTATTTCTGCAGAAACTTCGGGCAGCTGGGCCCTGCGGCCCCTGAGGGGCAGGTGGTGGCCAAATTAGCTACAAACAGCCAAGGAAAGCGAATGAGGACTGCTGACAGCCAGCTCTTTAAGGAGCAGGGTAGAGAGTGGGTGTCAGACTTGGTGGGTGTGAGGGGGGTGGGGACGTTCTTGTTAACCGAAGCGGTGGGTCCTCTCTCCCCAAGACCCAGGACACTCTGTGAAGGTGCCTCAAATCAAGTCTCCCACATCTTATTTTCGAACAAATCAATGAGACAGTTTTCCCAAACGCATGACTGCCTTTACTCATTAGGATAACAAAAACAACAAACTGCTTCATCTTCCCCTCAAAATCCTGATAAGCCTTTAAGCCTTGGAGCATCCTCGGATCTCTGGACGTGGCCTGGGCAGGCTGAAAGCTGGCCCTTTATTCCTTGGGCACTCAACACCTTTGCAGGGCTGTTTGCACTAAATGTTGGGTGACTTTCGGAGCCCCTGGGTGCCCCCAGTTCCATTTCTGGTCCCAGAATAACCATCAGAGGGGACCAGAGATGCGACCTCTTTGGGCAAAGCCAGGATGGAGCTGCACGGTGCCTTGTTGGGCCTGGCTTGACGCCCTGGTCCAGGAGGAGGAGGCCATGTCCAGACAGAACAGGGCCCACCTCCTCGACACAGGAGGCTCCCAGGGGTATGGAAACAGTCTCTATACGTCCTTCTCTCACCCCAGTAAATTACAATAATAAAAGGTTTTACACAGTGATTTTGTGGGATAAGGAAAAACTACCGCCAGAAATTAGTCATTATTCTCTGGAATGATAGGCTAATGAAGGGTTTGAGACACATGTTCTAATGGAAAACAAGTGGAAAGATGTATTCAGTATTGACTCAGCCGGGTAGGAGTCGGCTAAGGTCTGGGATGTTGCGGCGGGGACATCAGCCAGCCGCTGGGGGGCCAGATCCCAGGTCACCCCACATCCTCCCCGACCCCCAGGTCCCTCCATGCCATGAAGCCCTCTCTGGTTTTGCTGAATCGCAAGGGCCTCACACACAATTCTGGTTCATACAGCTGTTCAGTTCAGTTCAGTTCAGTCACTCAGTTATGTCCGACTCTTTGCCACCCCATGGACTGCAGAACGCCAGGCTTCCCTGTCCATCACCAACTCCCAGAGCTTACTCAAACTTGTGTCCTTAGAGTTGGTGATGCCATCCAACCAACTCATCCTCTGTCGTCCCCTTCTCCTTCCGCCTTCAATCTTTCCCAGCAACAGGGTCTTTTCCAATGAGTCAACTCTTCACATGAGGTGGCCAAAGTATTGGAGTTTCAGCATCAGTCCTTCCAGTGAACACCCAGGACTGATCTCCTTTAGGATGGACTGGTTGGATCTCCTTGCAGTCCAAGGGACTCTCAAGAGTCTTCTCCGACATAACAGTTCAAAAGCATCAATTTTTCAGCGCTCAGTTTTCTTCATAGTCCAACTCACATCTAGCTGAGAAGCTGAATTTCTCATTGTATTTATATAAATGACCACGTGGGGGCAGTGGTTGCCGTGTTGGGTCCCCACCCAGATGGGGCCACAGCAGCAGTCCCTCCCCATGCCTGGGACCTTCAGTCCCCTCCTGATCATGGTCCCAAATCCTGGAGGGAACTGGCCAGGGGCCACCAAGACCTGGGAGACTGCATGCGAGGCTGAAGATGAGAAGGTGAGGCATGTCTGCTGGCCGCCCTATGAATGTCTCGCCACTGGAGCTTTGCTTGGGTGGGTGCCCCACCACTTCCAGGCACACACCCCACCTCTGCCTTTCCAAACTCTGCCTTGACGCCCCACTGTTCTGTGTCCCCAAAATCTTCTGTGCCCACCCCTGGAGGGGGACCATCTCTTGCCTCCAGGCAGAAGCTGCACCTGCAGAAGTGTCTGCGTAGTGCACGCAGGCGAGCAGGTTCACCGGCTCTGCGCGCTCCTGCTCTCAGGACACGTGGGTGCTGGATGTGCATCCCTGTCCAGCAAAACCGGTCTTAAGGAAGCAGTCTTTTCCATCAAATCCTCTTTCCCTAGCTTTGAAATTGACCCTGTGCTCGTGAGTTCAGATTAATAATAATTATGAAAAATTATGTAATATAGATGTTTTCCATAAAGAAATGGAGTTTCATTTATTTCAAGTGCACCAGAAAGTGGAACCAAAATTAGAGTTTCCCAGAAAAAAGGTTCAACTGAGATGCAACAAGAAGAAACCCAAGAGGATTGTGACCTGGTGCTTACTGAGGCCTGGGGTAACAGAGGCATCTCTGGCCCTAGGTGGGCAGGAAGCAGGAAGGCCAGGCTTTGGACAACCTTGAACCTCCTAGGCAAGCACCGCTCCAAGCAACTCTTCAATGTGCTTCCTGATAAGATCTCATTGGAAGAAATATCTTTTTAAGATATCTTTTATTTTGACATGATTGTAGATGCACGTGCAGTTGTAAGAAGTAAAACAGAGACATCCCACAGACCCATCCCCTGACTTCCCCCAGTGGTAACCTCTCACAGATGCAGGGTCACACCAGGGTGTGACACTGGTGCACGCCCTGGCCCTCACTCAGACTTCAGCACGTGTATGTATGTGAGTGCGTGTGTGCCCATGCAGTTTATCACATGTGCAGATTCACATGACCTCCATAGTCAAGACAGTAACATTTAAGAAGGCTAACACCCATCTCCCCGCTCACTGATCCATCTGCCCACCATCCCTACCCTTGCAACCATTGACCTGCTCTCCATATCTGTGATTTTATCATTTTAAGACTTTCATATAATTGTGACCATAGCAGTACTTTACCTTTGAGTGTGCTCTCAGTCACTTAGTCATGTCTGACTTTTGTGACCCCACGGACTGTGGATTGCCAGGCCCCTCTGTCCATGGGATTCTTCAGGCAAGAATACTGGAGTGGATTGCCATGCCCTCCTCCAAGGGATCTTCCTGCCCTGGGGATCAAACTCATGTCTCTTGTATTTCCTGCATTGGCAGGCGGATTCTTTACCACTAGCGCAACAAGTCCATCCTAATGGAAATAAGTCCTGAATATTCATTAGAAGGACTGATGCTGAAGCTGAAACTCCAATACTTTGGCCACCTGATGTGAAGAACTGACTCATCTGAAAAGACCCTGATGCTGGGAAAGATTGAGGGCAGGAGGAGAAGGGGACTACAGAGGATGAGATGGTTGGATGGCATCACCGACTCAATGGACATGGGTTTGGGTGAACTCCAGGAGTTGATAATGGACAGGAAGGCCTGGCATGCTGCAGTTCATGGGGTAGCAAAGAGTCGGACATGACTGAGTGACTGAACTGAACTGAGCACCACCTGGGAAGCCCATGTTACCTTTGGGGGCTGGGTTTTTCCACTCAGTATGATTCTCTGGATATTCAGGCAAATTGTGAGTCCTATGCTCATTTCTTTTCATTGCTGAGAAGTCTGCAGTGTGGATGCCCTACCCTCATCTGGTTGTCCCAGTTTGGGGCAGTAATGAAGCTACCAAAAACTTTCACTCACATGTGGACTTTCATGTGAATTTTCATTTCTCTGGGACAAATGCC